GTCCCCCAGCCACGCGGAACCCGTACTGACGGGGAGACGTAGGAGACGGAAATCAGTTTCTGTGACAGAAAACGCCAGGCTCCACGATCCCGGCGCTGGGCTTCCTCGGGAAGGAGCAGACACCCCTCCTGGGGAAGCAACACAGGCTGCCTTACAGCCAGCGCAGGGCGGTGTCCACGTGAGTGACCGCAGGGGGGTTCTGAGCTTGACGCTAGACAAACACGCCAGGAGGGGACTGCGGTGACAGGCCCCGTCAGAGGGTCCCAGACCCTGGTGGGAAGGGGGAGAGGGGACTGCGGTGACAGGCCCCGTCAGAGGGTGCTTGCCCTCTCTTTGGCACACACGTGTGCTCTCTGGCATTAAATAGAGAAACCACGACTGCTGAGAACTTCAACTCCTACTGTTAATGCTCTCATCTTGCCCATGAGCTGGAGAGAGGCAGAGACGCAGCACCCCGACAGGGGCCCCCCGGCCTCCACCAGGCTGGATCTTGGGCACGGGCACACACGCCTGCATCTCGGGGAGGCCTCTGCCGGGGCCAGCACCATACCATGCCAGGCGCCTGGCGGGGCAACACGTTTTCCACATGCCTCTGTCCAGCCCTGCCCGCCCCCTTTTTTTTAAGAGAGATTTTTGCTATAGGGCTCATGCACTGGCTGGAGAGACAGAGACAGAAAGTGAGAAATCCCCCCAGGGGATGGCCAGGCCACAACCTCTTCTCCGTTCTCCTCTGGGAACTTTGGGCATGCACACACACGCGCCTGGCACAAGCTTACAGCTGCCAGGCCCAGGACTCGAACTGCAGTCAACGACTTGGGAGTCCAGTGACGTAACCATTACACCACCAGCTGGCCCTACCCTGCCTGCCTCTTACCATGAACAGTAAAGGGTGGGCCAGCCTGTAAGGGTGCCTGACTACTCCTTCACGTCCACCCTCGGATTGCAGCAAGGCTGCACCCAAACAAGACAGTCCTGTCTCTCTCTGTCTTTCTGGCGAGTGCACGCGCCCGAGAGCCAAAAACAAAAACAAAAGCCACCTCTCCAAAGAAGACAGTCGGGACTCACACCAGCGGGGCTCCACGAGGTCCTGGCGGGACCTTCAGGGCCCAAGGAGGGTCTGTGCTCTAATAGCACCAGCTGTTCAGTATCTCAACTCCTCTTTCAAACTGGTTCGAGAAGCAGTATTCGGACTAGAGAAAACAATTTCATTTACTTCACATTCAGTTAGTTCTGCGTTTGTTTTTTTTAAAGAGGTTTTTGCTATAGGGCGCATGCGCTCACCAGAAAGACAGAGAGAGGCGGAGAGACAGAAAGCGAGAAATCACCCCCCAGAGGGGATGGCCACGCTGCAGTCCCTTCTCCTCCATTCTCCTCTCGGGATATTAGGCACACATGCGCACACACACCACGAGTGAGTTTAAGCCACCGGGTCCGGGACTCGAACCGTGGTCAACTACATGGGAGTCCAGCAACATAGCCATTATGCTAACTGCTGATCCCATGGGTTTGTTTTTCAAAAAAGGTTTTTACCACAGGACACAGGAGAAAGAGTGAGATGGAGAGAGGGAAAGTGAGAAATCAGCCCCCAGGGGTGATAGCCGCCATGCCACAACCCCTTCTCGTCCCTTCTCCTCTCAGGGATTTGGGCACGCACGCTCACGTCCCCAGCATGATTTGCAAGCCATCAGGTCTCGGATTTGAACTGCTGACGGCCTTGTGGGAGTCCAACGCCTTAACCACTATACCACCTGCTGCTCGACTTACTTCTGCTTTTAAGAAAAAAGTAGCAGCCAGCTAAGTCTGGTAGTTAAGGTGGCTGGATCCCACATGGCCGAACGCAGTTTGAGTCGTGAACACAGCCTGAGAAACATGCTGGGCACACAGGTATGTCCTGGATCCCCGAAGGAGGGAGAGAGGGAGAAGGGACTGCCACATGACCGTCCCCCACAGAGGGTGCTTGCTCACCTCCCACTCCTGTCTCTCTCGGGTGAGGCATGTGCCCCCTGCAAAACTTTTTAAAGATTGGCTGGCTGTGTCCTGTGCACACACTCGCAGCAACCAGCTGGGGTTTCGGCTGTTAAGTATGGAAGCCATCTTCCAGGGACAGCCGTACCAAGAATGAGACTTACAGGACTTGGCAGCAGGTTGTGCAGGCGATTCCAGAGCTGCAGGTCTTCCTACATTGAACAAGTATCTTTGGGGCCAGCAGGTGGTGTGGTGGTTAAGGTGCTAGACTCCCACAAGGCCAACCGTGGTTCGAGGCCTAGACCTGGTGGCTAGCTCTCTCACTTTCTTTCTCTGGTGAGTATGCGTGCCATACAACAAATTTTAAAAAATAAATAACACATAAAATCAACTCTTTGGGGCCAGCAGGTAGTGTGGTGGTAAAGGGCACTGGACTCCCACTTGGTTGACCACAGTTCGAGTCCCAGACCTGGCAGCTTGCTTCCTGACTCTCTCTCTGGTCAAATTAAAATAAATAAATAAACCACAAAAGTAAAGAGCACCGTGCCCTGCGGTGCGACTCCACACGGGCCCCGCATCGGAGCCTGGGAGCACCTCACAGCTGTGTCCAGAGCACGCCCGAGCACGTCCCCACACGAGTGTGCGGAGGCGGAGGACCGACACGCACCCGAGTCATGATGTAGTTGTGCAGACTGTTCACGAAGTGCATGAGCTTCACCCTCAGGAGGAACATGCGGTGCACCTGCTGCCTCGCCAGGTCCTTCTGCGGTCCAAGCCCAGCGAGTGAGTCCTGCTCACCGGCGAGGCCGGCCCGCAGTGGCGGTTTGGCTGCTGCACTAGTTTGCCTGCTGCATTAGCCAGTTCTACACAAGGGGAAAGAGCAGGCCTCAGCGCCCCCGTGCCACTGCCAGGGCGGGCCCGAGGGGCCCACACCGAGCAGCCCCCCGTGCCACTGGTAACCACTGCCGTGAAACACGTACGGGTCCCATGAACCCGTCACTGAGAATTTTCATTCTGGCTCAGGCCCTGATCAAGGTACCGCCGTCCCCGCCGACTACAGACACAGCTCCCTGACGCCCAGAAAGCTAAGCTGTGGCCATCAACCACACCACGTGGACGTGGCCAGAGACCAGCTACCTGTCCCTCTGCGGCTAAAGTCAAAGGACGACTCGCCTGCTGGGAGCGTCTTACCGCCGAAGAGCAGGACGTCCAGGCTGTACTTGGCCCACTTGATCTGAAGTAAGAGCAGGAACACTTGATTATAAATCTTCTGACATTCCAAACTTATAACAATGTCCACAGGCCACGGGACCTAATGAAAATAAAAAAAGAAAAGGAAAATAGAAAGTAATCTATGTCTTACATTTTAAAAAATAATTCTTGAATTTTATTATCACCATTTTTTCATTTGACCAGAGAGAGCGAGAGAAAGAGAAGAAGAGAGAGAGAGGAAGAGAGAAAGCAAGCAGCCAGGTCTGGGACTCAAACATAATCGGCCACGTGGGAGTCCAGCACCCCTCCACCACGCCATGGTGGTTGCATCTTGCATATTTTAACAGAAAACTACACTTGTAATAAAGAGTCAGCATGGAGCCAGCAGGTGGCCTAGTGGTTAAGGCACTGGACTCCCATGTGGCCGACCATGGTTCAAGACCCAGACCTCGTGGCTTTAAAATTATGCCCACAATCCCAAGAGGAGAATGAAGGAGCAGGGACTGTGCCCCACTGTCCCACCCACACACAGAACCAGCACATACCTTGTAGCTCAGGGTCAGACCATCTAGGATGTGAACTGGCAGTTTCTTCTTGGCTGTGTCAACATTTTCAAAAGATATGGACAGACTGAATAAAGAAATTCCAGTTTTAGTTTACGAAAGTACTTTGCACACATAAAAACGTTCTTCTGAAGTCCTATTAGAACTTCACGTCGGTTTTCACGATATCCCAAAAACGATACTGCCTTTTATAAAAGTATCCCAACAGTGTTTTTCTACTCCACGTTCCAGAAGAGAAATCTGGTCTCTGAAGTAAGGAGGGCAAAGGTTGAAAACGGTGGCTTTAGCTACACAAGAGGCACACACAGTGCTGTTAAGTTGGCAAACGGAAAGGACGAGGTTGGGGAGGATGTGACGGTGACAACCTGGGGACCTCACTGGTAACATGCAGCGAAGGCTGCAAAGACAGAGCCTCTCTGCTCAGGTTCCAGAGGGGCACGGGAGCAGCAGCCTCCATGTGAGCCGTCCCCGCGGGGAGTGGGCTCTGAGGGCGGACTCGGACGCTGAGCCCCACAGTGCAAGGCGCAGCCTCTGGAGCGTGGGGAAGAGGCCCAAACAGCACAGGAGGAGGCCCCGCGTGTGCACGGACACGCCCAGCGCAGGTCACTCCACAAGCGCAGCGTCCTGGTCTGTGCAGCCCTCCCAGTCCTGGTGGTGGTGCTAGAACCTCGCCTGGTCACGCACAGGGAGCTGGGGCAACGCGGGCGCAGCCACGGGCAGGAACACGGGAAGCTGGACAGGGCAGCGAGCGGTCACTGAGGACGCGGACATGGCGGCGCGGCGCTGGCCCGAATGCCCGGCCACGTGTGCACTCACAGGAGAGCAGCAGCCCTACTCAACACTTGCATCTGCACACACACCGGCCCACCCCAGCTGACAAGCATGCGCAGAGCCACGCCCTGCTGCGAGGACACTGGTGCGGGTGGGAAGGGCGAGCATTGGGCCTCCCGGTGACGGGGCCAGAGGCTCAGCCGCAGGTCCAGGGTGCCCTCGCGGAGACTGGCATAGGCTAAAGGGCGCCCTGGGCTGCTCAGGCCACTCTGGGGAGGCCGGGTCCCTTCTGGTGGCAGGAGCAGGCTGAGATGCAGAGACGGCCGGGAAGCACATGCTGCCAGACAGGCCAGACGGGGTATGGGAACCCAGAGGCCACTGGCTCTGCTACCAGGAACCCTGGGACCCCAACCGACCCTGGGGCCCCCGTGACCAGCTTCTCCCCCTCAGCGGTGGTTCCCACCACCTCGCTTTTTAATGTAGAAAGAGCAGAACTCAGGGCTGGAGGGGCTAGCAGATGGCACAGTGGTTACGGTGTTGGATTTCCTCATGGCTAACTGTTCGAGTCCTGAACCCGGTGGCTTGCGTTCTCGCTTTCTGCCTCTCTCTAAGCTTAAAGTAATATTAAAATTAAAATTCTTTAAAAACCCCTCAAGGTTAGACTGAGAAATAATACAAGAGGGTTGTTCAAGAAGTTCGTGGAAATGAAGTATTAAAATACTGTTACCGTTTTTAAGAAAAATTTTATGTAAAAATAAACTCATAGTTTAACCGCCAGAGAGAGGGAGAGAGAAGACCGCGCCCTCGTGGGGTGGCCACGCTGCACCCCCTTCTTCATTCTCCTGCCAGGGTTTCGGGAGCACACACGCACCTGGCATAATTTCCGGGCCACCAGGTCAGGCCCAGGACTCACGCCATGCAGGGAGCCACGTGGGACCCAGCCACCTGCTGGCCCCCTGTAGCCTCGGAAGCCCCTGCATCCGTGAACGCGCAGAAGCAAGCTGGGCACGGCGCTTCCTTCGGACCACTGCAAGGAACAAGAGCCCGTTTACCGTGCGCTGTCTTCGGGGTAACGCTGTCCTACTGCTTCTTGGAGCTGGACGTTAAGAAAAGACACGTTCTGCCAGGTCTCCTTTTCTCTTATTTTATCAAAAATTGACGTGTAGAAGTCATACATGGTATCTCCACCTTCCATTAAAAAAAAATTTCTCATGGCCTGCAAGTACTCTACCAACCTGAGGGGGGAGAGAAGACAGACCGCTCAGCGCATCAGGCAGGAGCCGGGCTCCTACGCTGCCGGTGTTTAGAATCATTTACTTCTATTTCTCATCATTATTATTATTTTTTAAGAATTATTATTATTTGTTTATTATTATTATTTTCACATGAGTTTTGCCAGGGAAAGAAAGAGAGAGAAAGAGAGAGAGAGAGAGGGAGAGTGAGAAAGGAAGCCACCAGGTCCAGGACTCAAACCATAGTTGGCCACATGGGAATTCCAACACCTTAACCACCATGCCACCTGCTGGACCCTCATTATTATTATTTTTTAATGTGCTACAGGGCACAAGCATTCACCAGCAGGTGGCATGGTGGTTAAGAGCGCCGGACTCTCACACGTCTGGCCACGGTTCAAGTCCCGAACCTGGCGGCTTGCTTTCTCTCTATCCCTTTCCCTCATCCTGTCCCTCTCTGGTCAAATGTAAGCAAGTAAATGAATAAATAAAGTAAAATAAAATAATTCTTTAAAAAATAAAATAAAAAAGACAGATTTTTAAAACACAGTTCTAAAAAAGATATTGATGGTTAATTAATCCTCTAAAAAAATACTGTTTACTGAGGGCAGCAGGTGATATGGTGAATAAGGCACTGGAATCCCACATGGCTGACCGTGGTTCAAGTCCCAGACCTGGCAGCTTGCTTCCTCAGTTTCTCTGTCTCTCTCTGGTAAGCACACAACACTCCCACAGCAAATTTTTAAAAAATAGTAATAAAAAATAATTTTTTTTGGAGAGGTTTTCACTATAGGGCACATGAGCTCACCAGAAAGACAGGGAGAGACAGAGACAGAAAGCGAGAAATCACCCCCTAGGGGGAATGGCCACGCCGCAATTCTCCTCTCAGGATCTTGGGTATGCACGCACATGTGCCCCGCGTGAGTTTAAACCAACGGGTCCGAGACTTGAACCGCAGTTGACTACATGGGAGTCCACCAACATAGCCATTATGCCAACTGCTAGTCCCAGAAAAAAAAATGTTGTTAAATTAACTTGAAACTGGGACCAGCAGATGGCGAAGTGACTACATCAGCGGACCCCCCCGCAGACGACCGCAGTCCCAGCCCCAGACCTGGTGGCTTAAACTCACGCCAGGAACACTTCTTGCATAGTAAAAACCTCTCTCTTAAAAAAGGCAAAAATACCTGAAAGAGCTTATTTCTCTTTTTGGCCACAGGGTGTCTGTGAGAGAGAGCAAGCGTGCTCCGATGGCCTGGGGAGAACGCAACCCCTTCGCCCACCGCTCTGCCATCCGATGAGGGTGGACGTGTGCACCCAGTGCTCTGGAACCCCTGGGCCGGCACTGCACCGCACAGCCACGCGGGTGAAACTCCTCTGCACCGCGCCAGCCTCTCCCCTCCGGGGGCAGCCCTTGAAAGACAAGTTTCAAAACAGTCGCGACAGCCCCTCGAGCAGCATCGCCCACCGAGCACGCACCGGTAATCTTTCTTCAGAGTGTGCATGAGGCTCCCGCAGCACTCCAGGTACTGTTTGTCGATGTGGGGGTAGAGGCACGACCTCAGGGTTAATTCGAAGGTCCGGCATGTCACAGACTCCGAGGACCTATCCACACAGATGTCGCCGCTGGCGAACTTCTCGTGGAAGTCACTCTGTTCCAAGTACAGCCTGCAGGGGGAAACGGCCGTCTTTAACAGCTGCGGCCAGCGAAATTCTCATCACTCACTCTACCCCGAAGCCCATGTTCACTGTGTCTTAAAATGATCACCTCTTGGGACCAGCAATAGGCATAATGCCTATGTCACTGGACTCCCATGTGGTCGACCATGGTTGGAGTCCCGGACCCGGTGGCTTAAACTCATGCTGGGCCTGTGTGCATGCGTGCCCAAGATCCCGAGAGGAGAATGGAGAAGGGACGGGGGGAGGGTCATTTCTCGCTTTCTGTCTCTTTCTGGCGGGCGCACGCGCCCTATAGTAAAAATCTCCCCCCACCCCCCCAAAAAGATCACCTCTTACAAAAAGAGAAACTCTCTCTGCCCAAGACCTCCTTTGATGCAGTTAGGGTCGGGCCCTGCAGCTGGCCCTCGTAGTGCTGGGCCGCAGGCAGCCAACATGGTACTATGTGGGCGGAGCCTCGCTCCACACCGAGTGCCGAGCAGCACCGAGCCCAGGGGACACTTGCACAGGCAGACCTGACTCAGCGTGTCTACTGCCCGCCTGTGACCCAGACTTCCAGAACACCTTCGGGGTTTGTCGGCACGCCTGGGGCCTGGAGCAAGGGCAGGTGATGGGGACGCATCCGCGACTCCCACAAACAAGGAAGCCCAACTCTACATCTGAAGTCAGCAAACACATCCTCCTGCACTCGGTTCTCAGCAAAGAGAGGCCACATGGTGTGGTGGTGGAGGGCGCTGGACTCCCACGGGGCTGACTGTGGTTCGAGTCCTGGACCTGGCAGCACGCTTTCTCACTTTCCTTCTTTCTCTACCTCTCTCTAACTCTGTCCCTCTCTGTTCAAATTAGAATAAATAAAGTTAAATAAAATAATTCTTAAAAAAGAAAAGAAGGAGGAGAGACTACGGACGTCCTGTGTAAGGCGGGCGAGCCCTTCCTGGCAGAAAGGAAGCTCGAGTCACTGCTCCGATGAGGGTGGACGTGTGCACCCAGTGCTCTGGAACCCCTGGGCCGGCACTGCACCGCACAGCCACGCGGGTAACCCCCCCCTGCCCCGCGCCAGCCTCTCCCCTCCGGGGGCAGCCCTTGAAAGACAGTTTCAAAACAGTCGCGACAGCCCCTCGAGCAGCATCGCCCACCGAGCACGCACCGGTAATCTTTCTTCAGAGTGTGCATGAGGCTCCCGCAGCACTCCAGGTACTGTTTGTCGATGTGGGGGTAGAGGCACGACCTCAGGGTTAATTCGAAGGTCCGGCATGTCACAGACTCCGAGGACCTATCCACACAGATGTCGCCGCTGGCGAACTTCTCGTGGAAGTCACTCTGTTCCAAGTACAGCCTGCAGGGGGAAACGGCCGTCTTTAACAGCTGCGGCCAGCGAAATTCTCATCACTCACTCTACCCCGAAGCCCATGTTCACTGTGTCTTAAAATGATCACCTCTTGGGACCAGCAGTAGGCATAATGCCTATGTCACTGGACTCCCATGTGGTCGACCATGGTTGGAGTCCCGGACCCGGTGGCTTAAACTCATGCTGGGCCTGTGTGCATGCGTGCCCAAGATCCCGAGAGGAGAATGGAGAAGGGACGGGGGGAGGGTCATTTCTCGCTTTCTGTCTCTTTCTGGCGGGCGCACGCGCCCTATAGTAAAAATCTCCCCCCACCCCCCCAAAAAGATCACCTCTTACAAAAAGAGAAACTCTCTCTGCCCAAGACCTCCTTTGATGCAGTTAGGGTCGGGCCCTGCAGCTGGCCCTCGTAGTGCTGGGCCGCAGGCAGCCAACATGGTACTATGTGGGCGGAGCCTCGCTCCACACCGAGTGCCGAGCAGCACCGAGCCCAGGGGACACTTGCACAGGCAGACCTGACTCAGCGTGTCTACTGCCCGCCTGTGACCCAGACTTCCAGAACACCTTCGGGGTTTGTCGGCACGCCTGGGGCCTGGAGCAAGGGCAGGTGATGGGGACGCATCCGCGACTCCCACAAACAAGGAAGCCCAACTCTACATCTGAAGTCAGCAAACACATCCTCCTGCACTCGGTTCTCAGCAAAGAGAGGCCACATGGTGTGGTGGTGGAGGGCGCTGGACTCCCACGGGGCTGACTGTGGTTCGAGTCCTGGACCTGGCAGCACGCTTTCTCACTTTCCTTCTTTCTCTACCTCTCTCTAACTCTGTCCCTCTCTGTTCAAATTAGAATAAATAAAGTTAAATAAAATAATTCTTAAAAAAGAAAAGAAGGAGGAGAGACTACGGACGTCCTGTGTAAGGCGGGCGAGCCCTTCCTGGCAGAAAGGAAGTTCGAGTCACTGCTCGGTCTGACAACCCTGTGGCGGCGTCACCTCGCAAAGTTAATGGCCAGCAGAGGGTCATGCACGTCATCCAGCTCCCGATGGCTCCCGGCGACAGGCTGCATGTGCAGGAGGCTCTCCTTGGACACCTGCTGCTCCCCGAGGACCCGTGGAGAGGAATCGTCCCCACGCCTGAGACGTGACTGCACCGATTCCAGGAAGAGGGTGTACAGGCTTTTCCTTTCTGCATCTGAAACAGAACGCAGGTGCAATGTGGACTACCCCTGGTGGACAGCACTGTGAAAAACCGTTTTCCCCATACTTCAAAAAAAGAATGATTTAATCTTATTTTCATTACTATTATCTTAAGAGAGATTTTTGGTATAGGGTACATGAGCTCACCACAAAGACAGAAAGCAAGAAATCACCCCCGGAGGGGATGGCCATGCTTTAATCCCTTCTCCACTCTCCGCTCAGGATATTGGGCACGCACGCACATGTACCCAGCTGAGTTTTAAGCCACCAGGTCCAGGACTCAAACTGCGGTCGGCTACATGGGAGTCCAGCAATGTAACCATTACGTCATCTGCTGGACCCTTATCATTATTATTTTTAATTTTCTACAAGGTACATGTGCTCCCCATAGTGAGAGAGAGAGAGAGAGAGAAAGTGAGAAAGCAGTCTGCCAGGTCCAGGACTTGAACCATGGACAGCCATGGGGGAGTCCAGTGCCTTAACCACCATGCCACCAGCTGGCCCCAGCAACATTAAGAAATATTAACCATTCGGGACCGGTAGATGGCATGTAGTAGTTATGTCACTGGACTCCCACGTAGTCGACCGCAGTTTGAGTCCCAGACCCGGCAGCTTAAAGTCACGCCAGGTACGTGTGCGTGCATGCCCAAAATCCCAAGAGGAGAATGGAAAAGGGACTGGAGTGTGGCCATTCCCCTAGGTATAATTTCTTACTTTCTGTCTGTCTCTCTGACTTTCCAGCAAGCTCACACACCCTATAGCAAAAATCTAAAAAAAAAAAAAAAAGAGAGAGAAATATTAAGTTCCAAAAAGGGGAAAGGAGTACTAAGAGCATCTTGGCGTGGCCTCTCCCTGTCCCTTGGCTTTCCCCTGCACAGGACGGCAGCAGGGACACTTATCCCCCTCTGTAAGTGGGGCAGCGTTTACGGCCGGCCCCGCAGTGTGCCGGCGCCTTGCCCAGCAGCTGCAATCTCACTGGACAGAAGCCACTTCCAACAGCAGCCTGGAAAACTCCTTTCATTTTGTTATTCCGTCAAAATGGGGATTATTCTACAAAACGAGAGCATTATTTCACGTAGACAGAGGGAGTAATAAGTAAAACATCAAGGTGATTCGTAAGCCAAACAAGTAAGGTCACGTCTATATCTTTTAAGCCTTTTCAGTCTGTAGATAAAACTTGACTTAAATTGCATCAAAAAGGACCAGAAATTATATAAAGATTTGCTGAAATCCATGACCAAGTCTGAACTGCTGCCCATCGGCAAACTTCTACCTGTAAGGGTTCACCGTCCCAAAGGCTGAACACCGCACGGCACCGGCGAACGCAGCGTTCTTTCAAGATCGCCACGAGGGTAGGTGCACTTGCCACACGGGGCAGAGAGAGGGGGAGGGAGAAAGACGCCCACGGGGAGTGGGCACGCGCGGCCCCCTCCACGTCTCTCATGCTGGGACTCGGGGCACACACACGTACCCGGCATGTTTTCTAAGTCACTGCAGCCGGCCACATGGATCCAGCTCCCTTAACCACTAGGCCATGACGCTGGCCCAGAGAGTGATTTTTCAAAAGGCCAGTCCTAAGGAAACGAGTAGAAAAATGCATAGAGCTTCTTCATTGCTGACTTTTCCAACACAGCGCTGGAGGTCTCTAACGGAGGTAGGATTTTACCCTCCATCAAGAACATGCTTATTAATCCGATCATGGTGTGAGTTCCATTAAAATAAAAGGCCTTGAGGACCCTGAATACTACAATGAGTAGGCATCGGGGCCAGCAGGTGCCGTGGGGCTGGGGCGCTGGTCTCCCGTGTGGCCAACCGCAGTTTGAGTCCTGGACCTGGGAGCTCTCTCTCTCTGTGTCTCCCCCTGGTGAGTGCACGTGCCCTATACCAAACTTAAAAACAAGACAGTAACAATAATAAGTAAAATAAGTCACTTTAAAACACAGAAATGAAAGCACTCGGCATCTTGGGGTGCCGAGGGTGAGTGGGGACGGCCGCCCTGACGCGGAGAACAAGGAGGCAGAGACGCTACCCCTGGCCGCGGCCTGGCCCGCGGTGCTCTCGGCGCACTGCAGGTTCTTCAGCAGCTGCATGGACTTGCCGGCCATGATGATCTGCTTCAGGACGGGCTTGAGGAAGGACACCATGGTGTGCTGCCTGGCGGGGGCGCCCTGGTCACTGCCGGAGCTGGCGCTGGCGCTGTCGCTCGTCCTCTCCTCATGCTCGGTCTTCTCCGACACGCTGTAGAGCGTGTAAGTCGCGTACCAGAAGTCTCTGTGGCTCACCGGGACGCTCTTGTTTCTGTGGAGGGCCAGAAGATCTTGACATGTGAACTTCTCTCCTTAGATGGCACGGGGAGGCCAAGCTACCACGGCACGCAGTCCACACGCTCCACACACGGCAGTGCCACGACCGTGGGCCAACACGCAGTCCACACGCAGTCCACGCGCAGCGGTGCCACGACCACAGGTCAACACGCAGTCCACACGCGGCGGTGCCACGACCACAGGCCAACACGCAGTCCACACGCTCCACACACGGCGGTGCCACGACCGCAGGCCAACACGCAGTCCACACGCAGTCCACGCGCGGCGGTACCATGACCACGAGCCAACACGCAGTCCACACGCTCCACACACGGCGATGCCACGACCGCAGGTCAACACACAGTCCACACGCTCCACACACAGCAGTGCCATGACCGCAGGCCAACACACAGTCCACACGCTCCACACACGGCGGTGCCACGACCACGGGCCAACACGCAGTCCACGCGCTCCACACACGGCGGTGCCACGACCGCAGGTCAACACACAG